TAAACCTATCACCTTTTAAAACATCTTTCCATTAGTGTGTCTGACACCAGTGATTAATCACAACAGGCCCAGTGGCTAAAGAGCAAAAACAATAACTTTTAATTACATACGAACATTAGACTGGGAAAAAAAATCATCAGCTAAAACAACCAATTAAGATACTGTACTACTGACTGAGCAAGACTAACAGTAGTGACAGGACATACTTATTAATAACATACTGTACTCCTTTTTTTGGATGTGTGTGTGTGTAACAGAAAGCACTTGTTCATAATCGTAAGCAAACCCTGAAACAGGAGAGACTTATTTATGAAATACTCTTTTTGGGGAAGCAGAGTTATCTTTCTGTTCCCATTGTTTAGCAGTGAGCACCATTTAGAAGTTACCTTTTAAGGACTCCAGCAATGTTGTCTGGGGAATTCATGGAATTGTCTTCGGAAAAAATAAATTTTTGCTACACATCCATAGTATACAATTACTACTGTTGAAACCATTCCTTGATAAAATGTTTTATGAATCCTGCATTGAAATATTCTTTTGCATTCCTCCCTGCTCCTTTGAAACTCAACAATTATTTTTCCAGCAAGAGATGATACTTAAATAGGGGATTGTTCATATTCATTAATGAGTTGTGGGAAACACTCCAGTGATTTTTGTAGACCTTCAATTAGGTCCTGACATGTACTTCTGAGAATCTTTCAACTGGGACATGTCTTATGATCATCATGCTGAAAACTCCCTTGTGTATCAAGGCCATTGTACTTGTTTATGTTTAGGAAAGGGCACGAGGGATCACACAGTTGAATTCAACTGGAGCGTGACTATATTCATTTCCAACAAGAACATGTTTATTCTGCTAGCCTTCCTTTTCTTGAAGAGAGGCACCCTGTGTGAACGTGTGGCCTCTTGATGTTACTAATGCCAAACAGATAGTCAACTCACCAAAGTTAGTAAAAAGACATGTATGAAGGAGCAAGAGAAGTCGACTATGAAAGCCAGACAAGATACTGTACATCACAAGTTCCTCTTTTTAAAAACTGGGCATTATTAAGGGTGACAGCTGAGGAGCTGTATATACTAAGACCCATGCTGAGGGAAAGGAAACTAACTCCTTCCTAAATCCCAGTAGTCATGATTCTTGCAGTGGACCAGATCTGATCTGCCATATGTTGATTTTATAATCTTGCTAGATTTATCCAAAGGATCTTCGGTGGAGCTGTGCTGATATGTACCAGGTGTCTTATGCTCTATTTTGCAGACCTTTCTGGTCCCACAAAAGAGAAGCATCTTTCATGAATACAGTTCAAAGAAAGGTCTGAGTATAATCATTTTCATGCTCTTCACATGGAGACACACACATATCTCCCTATTTGGCCATTTTTGCATTGATTGTTTTTTTTCTGGGGATGAGGAGTATGACTGGTAGGGGTATGATAAAACTACTGCCGTTCTTCGATGATCTTTTTTAAAAAAACTTCAGCATATTCAGTGGATTAATCTTATCCAAGACTGCAGTTATTTACACTAGCCAGTTCCATCTGCATATAATCTGGCCACGGCCCTTTAAGGCAGTGGCTGCTTTTTGCCCTAGAGTTCTTGAGCTGATACTCAGGGGCTTCTCTGGTTTTGTGACTGAACCAACCAGCAGGTATGTATGCAGATAAGAAAAGTCTGAAACCGTTTCTACCTTCAGCATTTAATGTCACAGGGCCCACAACCCTCTTTTTATTTGTTTATATTTACTTATTTACTTATTATGGAACTTGTATACTACCCCATTAGTGCCCAGCATAAAGACATCAAAATATCTCAAACAACAAAACAAATAGGCCACCATTTCAGAATAACAGCATAAGCCCTGATGTCTTCTGTCTTCTCCCTTTGGTTTATGTAATTGCCTTTGCTCTTTTTTGGCACTCTTTATCTTCATCTCCACTCTTCTCTTTCCTGGTCTGTTTCAATTCTCTTTGTCCAGATCTTCTTCTCCAAGCTTCCCTCGCCCACTTGTATACTGTTCCTTCCTCCTATTGATTCAATCTTCACACCTAAGTTCTTTTCAGCAGTGACAAGCCACTGCTTTCTTGCTTTCCAATATAGAGCTCAGTGGTTTTGGCCTCTGTGGAGCCAGAAGTTAGGAGTTTGATTTTCCATTGTGCATCTTTAGCAGGGACTGGATTTGATGATCCATAGGGTCCCTTTCAGCTCTTAGAATGATGATGATGATGATGATGATGATGATGATGATGATGATGATAAGGGGCTTTACATACCTATACCCTTTATTTGGTTACAGCTGAGACAACTTCCGAAGCCTCAGCTGAACAGCTGGGTTCAACTGGGCTTCAAAAAAAGCCTAGCCGCCAATGTGTTGCTTCGCTCCTGCTTTTAGGTCAAAGGGAGTAGTAAGAATACCTAGCCCTCATCAAACTCAGTTTTGATAGGTGCACTAGCCCTGCGAGGTGGGACAAAGGGTCAAGAATATTTGGGATAAGACTTCCAGAACAATTGAATGAAAAAGAAGAAAATATTTCTTTGGTTCATAAAAAGCATGGCTAGCTGTTTCCCATTGAAAGATAGGGCAAACATTTTTTTCAGTGTGGATTGCTAGGTTCTGGAATGAGGGAGAAGACAGAAAATAGTTGCTATGGTGACCAAGTCTTGGTCACAGAATGTGAATGGACCAGTACATAGAAGGTGCAAAGCTGGATGTTTTCAGTAGCCCTTTGCACAGAATGTACTGTGATAAAACTCCAGGATTATGTTAATTTCCCCAGAAAAATGGGATGGCGTTCCTGGGCAAGAAAGAAAAGTGGTATAATGAACTACTTCTCCTGATTTGCCATTTACCAATCTAACATCAAATTTTAGCTATGAGAGAAAAGAGAGAAAAATCAGTCAAAAAGCACAATAATATAATGGTGCAAATTCATTGTATACAACAGGGATCCCCAACCCCCCGGTCTGCGGCCTGGTGATTGTCCGTGGGCTTCTCGGAACTGGTCCATGGAGACAAATCTCAGCCCCCCGCCTGCTTGTCGGCATGTCGCCCTCGAGGGGGGCATCACACTCGTGCAGGGTGTGTGTCATGCTTGTGGTGGGTATGCCTTCGGTCATGCAGGGGGCATATTGTGCTCATGCAGGGGGCATTTTGCACTTGGAAACACGCCCCTGTGCGAGCACAATATGCCCCCCACAAGCGCGACACACCTGCTGATGAGTGCAGCATGTCCCCTGGTGAGCATGACATGCCCCCTGCATGTGTCACATGCCCCCGCAAACGTGACATGGCCCATACGATCATGACATGTCCCCTGCACAAGTGCAGGCATGCCCCCACCCACATGCACGGAGCCCACCCCCACAACCGATTTGTTGTCCCAAAAAGGTTGAGGACCGCTGGTATACAGGACAAGTTCACTTTTCCTCCTCTTTTCTCATTTTTGATTTTACTTTTTGTTCAGTATTTGTTATTAGATTTTTGATTATTCTTAGTTTATCCTTTTAATGTTATTTATTTATTTAAAATATTTTTACCCTCCCTTTCTCCTTAAAAAGGACCCAAGGTGACATACATAAAGAGTATACAGTATAATGAGTATAAAGAGGCAGTTTACATCATTCAAAGACTCCATTATAGCATCAGCTCTTTCTCCCTCTCAAGAAAACCACTTCAGTATAAAACAACAGCCAAACTGTTTTTCTTTAAACTGCAAGAGTTTCCCCCTATTTTTTACAGATTTTTTCCATCTGGTTTCTAAAACGGAGGAACACAGAGACATACGTTTTGGGACATGAACTGGCGTGTGACCAGGAAAGTGAGTGATAACTTGCTCATTAGCAAATTTAGTGGCAATCTATTGCCATGGTTTACACAACTGCACTGATGCTGTTGCAAATCACCATCAGGATCCTGCCCAATGGTGAAACTTATTCAGTCCCCTACATTCTTAATGAGCTGGCTGGATAAATCACCGAGTTAGGTATCTGACTGTGGAGCCAGAGGTTGGCCGTTTGGTTTCCCACCGGGCATGCCAGAGGAGCCAGCCTACATAACCATGGGGAAGCTACACAGTCCGAGGGCATCCTCAGAAGAAGGGATTGGTAAACCACCTCTGAGTACTCTCTGCCCATAAAACTCTCAAAAGGGTTTTATGTCAGAATTGACTTGATGGAATACATATATTAAATTCTTAATTATGTCTTATGGCCCATTTTCAGTTACTCTTCTTATGGAATTTCAAAGTGAGACATTTTATATTGTGGGACATGGGTTGGCAATTTCTCACACAGATTATCACTTTCACAAAAGCTGTATCAACTGTTGTGTCAAAATCTGGGACAATGTCTTCCCTGTGGTATTCAGAAAATGCTTTCTCATCTTATCTATAGAAATCCAGCAGTTGAAAACATTTTTATTCAAGGAGATATCTATGGTGCAATTTTCTGCCATTTATTATGCTGCCATGATCACCAACTTTCCTGTTTATTGTACTACAGCTGCTTTGTTAACTGTTGGCACTATACACAAAGTTTTGTAGCACCTTAAAAAGTCTGTCTGATTTTGATACTAAAGACATAACATGACCAACCTTGTTACTATACAGTATTTAGAACATATTTTTATGCAGAAAAGAACAACAACATGAAATAAATAATACAAAACAGCAAAATATCTAGCCAAGTGGTTATCCTAAATGGAAGCAAAATTAAAAATGATTCTCTTTGTAAAAACAGCATTACATTTCAACGTTAATATACACAAGATGACAGTTTTCACTGGTTCAACTGATACACTGATTTTACAAAACACTTCTTCAAAAAGGCTATGTGGGGGAAAAACCTCAAAGTTACTGGCTAGTCAGGCTTACAGTTGCCAAGTTGCAGAGGTGTACTGGCCATGGGCAGTGGTATGAAGATAGCTTAGGCTGAATTAAAACAACATTCTGATGTCATGCATGATGTCACAAAGAAGATATAAGATCAACCTCTTGGCAGAGTGACAGACAATTAACATTGAGACCAACACTCCCTGTGATCAAGATGGATCTCCATAACAGGTGATTAAAATTTTTATTTGAGGGTCATTATTTTTTGTCAGAATGGAAGAATTTTGAATGATTTGCAGAATGGATTTTCAGCTTGTAGTGGATGAAAATTCAGGACAGGATCAATACAATTTCTCTTTATGCATGACTGATTCTGGAGGTGTATTTCCATTGAGTTGGATCAGTAGAAAGGCTTTGCCCATGGACGTCCCTTCTACCTGATTTTGAGAGAACCTCCTGTGACAAACCCAGACCTACTGGGATCTGCCACACGTTAACTAAGCTGCCACCAACCATTCCCTGTAAGAAGTCACACAGACCAGGGATGGATTTTTAACCAATAAAAGAATAAGGTTTATTTAAAACAACACACAGGGAAAATAAAATAATCAGGTGAATAAGATATAGTAACGTGGCTTAGTCTCATTCATACCTCCATTTCTCTCCACAGAGTAGGACTTATTGAACTTGGTCAGTCAAGCCTTCTGACTTTGTTTCTAGCATTTTCAAGGGAGCTCGAGGGGCTGCAATACGAAGGAATGATGGGGAACTTGACTATTCTGTAAATTTTTACTGTGTTCCTGGGAAGAACTTATGGTAATATCAGTTTTCCAAACAAAATCCAATAGCTTCACATTATTTTTGGATCAACTAGATATTTATAAAATATACAAGAATTTGCATTCTCACAATTCTCTATGAGGCTTGATGGCAAAAATTAGGAAGGAGGAAGTAGTGAAGGAGCTGCTTTCCATGTGAGGAGAGACTTTAATTCCTGATCTCCATGGCTAAACACAACTATCTATTTTCTCTGTTTCCATGCCCCTCTCCCAATTTTTTTAGCACTGAAGTTGAAGAAAAGTTCAAGAGAACTCAAACGCTTGCATGTTTTGTGAAAGCCTACTTGATCCTAGTATAGGCATTTCCTATCTGTGGATCTTTGATTTTGTTTTGTTCTTATGGATCCGCCCCGCTGCTTTCCCTTTTGGAATAACTTCAAGTATTTTGTAAAGTACCTCAACTCTGGGACATCACTATAATATATAGTTAAAGGAAATGGCTATTTCATGAGTTCTATCCATACATTTACTGATAGTGGATTAGCCACTCCTGGCAGGAGGTAGGATGACAAGCTAATCCAAGTGGCTACATCCAAGTGTGGACAATGGCATGATAGGAAGGCTGTGCCGAGCTCGTGTCAGTGGTGAAATGGTGAGTGGACAGTCCGGACTCTTGTTATTTCCACCTGTGGGGGGATATTCATATACAAATACCCCCATCTCTTTTATTTATATTTATATATATAATTACCAAGATAGATAGATAAGTAGGTTGGTAGGTAGGTAGGTAGGTAATTATATGAGGTAATTAAATGAGGTAATTGATCCACCCCAGTGGTTACTCTTGGTTCTTTTTTGTCATGAAGGAAAGTGAGATTTACTAGCATTCGCATCCAAAATCCATGTGGTGAAAAACCCTGTCTTTGACAAACACTTTGCCTCTGGAAATCTTGGAAGTAATTCATTTATTTTTGTAGCTTCGCTTCTGGAGCCATTTTGTTTTATTTTTTAAAATATTGGTGAGGTAATTAAAAGTATCTGACTGGGAGCTTCTGTCATGGAAACGAACTTATCACTGAAAGCATCATAGTGCTGAAGTCTAACTCTGCAATAAATTGCTGAAACAAAATAAACCACGCATTCAGCAGTGACAAGCATGGGCATGCAGGGGGAAAGGCAGGGGAAAAGGCACTGAGGATGCTGGTTCAAGCCTTGTATTATCTGGGTGGTGGGAAAAGTACAAAACCAACAGGTCAAAATAGCTACTTATTCCCTGCCCTAACTGCTTTTGAAGACCAGGAAATGCCAATAAAGCAGGACTCCATATCTGCTGGGGATTCCGAGCCCCTAAGAATACTGAAAACTGCAGATAATAGCCAATACTATATATATTGGGGGCACTGTTTTATGGTGGTTCTGCTCCTTCCTGGCTGATTGTGTCCAGAGGCTAGTGCTGGGGGACAGTTGCTCTGCTCCATGGCATTTATGTCATGGGGTTCCTCAGGGCTCGATACTGTTCCCCATGCTGTTTAACATCTACATGGAACCACTGGGAGAGGTCATCAGGAGGTTTGGGCTGAGGAGTCAGCAATATGCTGTCGATACTCAGCTCTACTTCTCGGTTTCCACCAATCGAGGTGAGGTGGTTTCTGTGCTGAACTCGTGTTTGGACCTCATAATGGACTGGATGAGGGTTAATAAATTGAAACTCAATCCAGACAAGACGGAAGTGCTGTTAGTGGGTCCTTCACCAGACAGGTTGGAGGGCTATTTCCCTGCCCTTAATGGGGTTACACACCCCATAAGGGACATTGTCCACAGCTCCTGGACTCCAATCTAACTCTGGAAGCCCAGGTGGACTCGGTGGCCAGGGGAGCCTTCCTTCAGCTTCGGAAATTGTACCAGCTACAGTCCTACCTGGACGAGCGGAGCCTCATGACAGTTACACACGCACTGGTAACATCTCGTATAGATTATTGCAATGCGTTCTACGTGGGGCTGCCTTTGAAGATGGTCCGGTGACTACAACTGGTCCAGAATCGAGCTGCGTGGCTGGTGAGTGGTGGGGCCGCTAGGGAACATATCAAGCCAATTCTGTTTAAGTTACATTGGTTACCAGTTGCTGCCCAGGCCCAATTCAAAGTGCTTGTTTTGACATATAAAGCCCTAAACGGC